GACTGGTGTCTGGCAAGAGCCTGGTCTTCCCTTCCAAGATGATGTCTCACATGGTAGAAGGGATGGGAGGGCAAGGATTCAAGCTAGTTCCCTCCAGTTTTTTTTTTTTTAAATATAGCTCTAATCCATTCCTGAGAATCCTCATGATTAATCATTTTCCCCAAAGACACCCACTTGGGGTGGGGGGACACACACATTTAAACCATAGCAGTTACGTATCAGAGATTCCCCAAACATCTGCTTTCCTCTATCACCCTATATCCATCCATCTCTTTACCAAATTTATTCTTTCGAGTATCTTTTGACTCATCTCTTTACCATTGTTCCTTCCCATCCTGCTTAGTAGAATTTCTGTTTCCTCTCTTCTCCCTCCAAATACTTCAGTCCCAGGAAGGAGAGGATGTCTGTTTCAGACGGTTTTTCTTGGCGGTGACAGCATAGCGTGCGTGTCGACCTAGTTTTCTAGAATTAGTGGAATAGAGTGTGGCATATATATGACAGTAGCTCCAAAGCAGCTCTGAATTACAAATTCTCAAAACTTTCTGAGTGACTGAAGTTTTAAAAATCCTGCTAAAATTGGGTTAAATGTGTAATGGGTTCACTTGATGCTTTCACTGTATACTTTGTGGCTTTGAATCTTACATTTTTTTTTCTTTTTCCCAATCTTGTTTTCCCTAAACTTCTCCTTGATCTTCTTTTCCCTAATTTATCCTCCCTGATCTTTTCCCTAAACAACTTCTTCCTGATCTCCTCTCTGATCTTCTCCTTCTTGATCTCTCCTCCCTAATCTCATTTTCTCTGATCAGCTCTATAAAAGCCCCCTGTTCCTGCAGATGGGCAGAATCACAGCCTTTGGGACAGAAGTTCCTTGTGTTTCTCCTTTGCTAACAAAGCAACAAACCTTCTTTTTCCCTTTTTTAACCTCATCTTTATTATTAGGTTGGTGCTGAGGACAAGGACTGAGCTTTTGATTACAAAGGTAGCAGCATACATGATCTTCCTTTAATATGTGACAATGATATTAATGTGATATATGATATATAAGACCCAATACTCTTAAATAGTTTATTGTTCCTCTTTGTATTTTCCACTAAATTTCTTAGGGAACAAAGCATTTATAGATACTAGACTCAAATAACACATTAAAAATTAGTACTAAAATGTTTATTTATTTTTATATGTGAGGCAAGTGCTCTGCCACTGAGCCACAACCCAAGCCCCTAAAATTGTTATTTTTAATGAAAATATGTTTTTTTTTTTTTTGACAAAAAGGAAAAAGAAGTTTATTGCTTAGCTAGCAAAGGAGAAACACAGGGGATTCCTGTCCCAGAGCCTGATTCTGTCATTAGGGGACACACGGGTTTTTAAAGAGGTGATTCAAAGGCTACACTCCCTGGTTCTCTGTCCAGAGTTGTAAATTGGGGAGATAGTAATGTCTGAGATCTTCTGGTGCCATTCCCAAATCTGAATTACTTTATTCCTGTGGTGGGTGTGCACTTAAGGACAGAGAACTCTGCCTAGGATGGGGAAAATGGTAACCCTGTTTTCCCTAAGATTAGGGAGGAGCAGGGAAAGAGGAAGAGAAAGAAACATATCTGTTTTGGGGGCCATAGTTACAACAATCTATCGCAGGTGGCATGGAGCAGATGTCTGTCTAACTGAACGATTCTCAAAGAGGTGGACAACCAGGTTACTCTACCTTCACCCTGTCCCACTCTACAATTTTTTTTTCCTCCATGATTTGGACAAAGGAAATAAAATACCATTGCTATTTTTTACAGAGCTAGGGTGAATAAAATCCATCATAAAGATAACTTTGGCAATTTTCATTACTTCACCCAAACCATAGAAGATCCAATTTATCAATGTTAAATAATAAGTCCTAAATTTATGCTACTAAAAAGCAAATTATGGTCAGGCAAAACAGAAAGTTATTTAAAAACACTGTATGGAATTTCAGTTGAGACCAAATTTATGAGTCTAAAGTGATCAAAATGAATTAAGAAAAATTAAGTTTAAGATCATGAACAGTGATGTTTCCCCAGAACAAAATGTTCTGCACATTATGGCTATTTTCTGGTGAAAACGTAGAAGGGTATGAAACTAGAGAATCCAGAAGTCGACTACAATAGTAAACAGGGTTCAAATATATGAGTTGGAGTACTTGCTCTGGAGAAGAAGATGAAGACTTGTAGAAGATACAAAATATGTTCTAATACATTTGAAAAGATTTTCTGTAGAAGAGAATTCTGGAGGGTAAATAGGACCAGTGGAAGAAAGTTGTTTGCAGGTAGATTTTGGCTCAAGGTAAAGCAGAGTACTTTAACAACTTGAATGGGCTAACAAGGAATGGACATCTTATGAGTTAATGACCTCTCCACCTGAAAGTCCAAGAGGAGTCTGGGTGACTATCCAAGAAGCCGAAAAAGAGATTCTTGACAAATATTCAATTGAATGATACCAACTTTCATCTTTTCCTATATCTTCACTTATTAAATGACATTTTCCTTTGTTATCATCTTTTTATGACTGCAGCATTCTTTAAAAGCTATGAATACTGTCATGAGTTTTTATTTTGGTTATTGAAACAAAATGTGTAAAGAATAGTTCCCCTTCCTGTTGCTAACTCTAAAGCTCTTTTGAAATTATACTAGTTATCATGTATTAATTGTACAAATCGGTGGGATTCACAGTGGTGTTTCTATACATATATATTGAGGATAGTGAGGGTTAATCATGTCCAATCTCACTACTCTTCTACTCTCAAACCCCTCTTCCTCAGCAGCCTTTCCAGGGCTTGAGTCCTTCTTAATTTCCTTCTGTCCCCCCTCACTCTTCCCCATCTCTAGTGACCACTATTTCATTCCACACTTCTACCAGGTTGACTTTTTGGTTTCCTTAGATGAATGATGGTATGTGTTGCATTTCTCTTTCAGCCTCTGGCTTGTTTCACTCAACATCACATTTCCCAGTTGCATACACATTACTGTAGATGACAGGATTTCATTCATATTTATGGCTGAGTAGTATTCCATTGTGTAAATTATATCATTCACCTGTTAAAGGGCATCCCAGTGGATTCCATATTTTGGCTATTGTGAATAGTGCTGCAATAAAGATGGAGGTGCAAGTGTCTTTTTGGTATAAAGATTTCAATTCCTTTGGTTATATATCCAGTAGTGAAATTTCTGTTATGTGATAGTTCTGTTTTCAGAAATCTCCATAATTTTTAATAATGCTGTACTAGTTTACTTTCCTACTAGTGGTGTGTAAAAGTTCACTTTTATTTACATCCTGGCGAGCATTTATTTTATTATTTATTCTCTCTCTCTCTCTCTCTCTCTGGAATAAACTCAGGGTACACTGAGCTACATCTCCAGACCTTTTTATTTTTTGTTTTGACGCAGGGTCTTGCCAACTTGAGGTTGGTCTTGAACTTGTGATCCACTGAGATGATATGATATCTCATTTAACTATCTCTAATGATTAGTGAAATTGAGTATTTTTTTTGTGTGTGTGTGTGTGATTATTGGCCTTTTTTATGTCTTCTTTTGAGAGGTGTCTGTTTAGGGACAGTCTCTTCAATATATGGTGCTGGTAATGTTGGATAGACATATGCAGAGGAATGAAACTAGACTCCCCTTTTTCTCACCATGCTCAAAAATCAACTCAAAATAGATCAAAGACCTGAACCTTAAACCAGAAACTGCCAGATTTCTACAAGAAAGGAGGTGGAACACTTCAAGATGTTGGTGTTGGCAATGATTGTTTAGACAGAACTCCAAAAGTACAGGCAACAAAAATAAAAACAGACAAATGGGATTACATCATGCCAAGAAGCTTTTGCACAGCAAAGGGAATAATCAACAGGATTCCGACAACCTACTGAGTGGGAGAAAATATTTGCAAATGGTACTTCTGACATCTAGAATGTATAAGGAATTCAAAAAGATGAGCACCCCCCACCCCAAAAAAATCAAACAACCTAATTTAAAAATGGGCTAAAAACTCTTCTTTGCCACCTATGACCTTGAAAGGAACCCTTGGAATCTTCTAGTTCAGCCTGCTGCTTCAGATACAAGGGAGCTGGAGCCCAGAGCGATAGAGACACTTGCCTGAGGGTCGGTGCACTCCCACAGGTGGACAAGCCAGAGCAAGGAGAACAGGATGACGCAGAGAAAGCTCGGCCTTGAGATTGCCAAATGCTCCTGTTCTTACCCTTGAAATAGCTTTCGTTAGCCACTTCAGTTTTCTTTTCTCAAAAACAACGACGATGCTTGTTTTAGTTAGCTTTCTATCTCTATGACCAAAATGACTCTAAGAACAACTTAGAGGAGCGAACGTTGATTGGGGGCTCGTGGTTTCAGAGGTTCAGTCCACAGACAGTGGGCTCCACTGCTCTGGGGCTATGGTGAGGCAGGATTCATGGAGGAAGGGCTCACTGCAGGAAAGGTGCTCACGGCATGAGATTCAGGAAGCAGGAAAAGAGGAGAAGGAGCCACGAGGAAGATGCACCCTTCTAGGTCACACTCCCCAACTCCTCCAGCCACACCCACCTGCCTACAGTTACTACCCAATGCATTCAAACTAGGATGAGCTGATTAGGTTACCACTCTCATAATCTAGTCATTTCACCTCTGAATAACCCTGCATTAGTAGAAGTGTTGGGGGGGGCACCTCATACTCAAACCATAATACTTACTCTGGATTATGTTGAGATTAGTCTATAAAGTGCAGGGTATGCACTAGCTTTCAAACAAATGTTGGACATCATGTTGGACATCTTGGACATCAGGCTGGCTTTGTTTTCAATAAGACAGTGGTATGAGTTTTTTTTTTTTTTTCTGAAAGTCCCAGCATAACAGGTCATAAGTCTTAAGAGGACATTGCTGGCTTACACACATCATCCCAGCATAATTATTGATAACATCCCATTTCGCTCTCAAAAGTATCTCTATTTTAAGTGAATCATAAAGTTTGCTTAAGAACGAAAGTTCTACCTAGGACTTTCTCAGTGTCTTCCTTAGGGCATCTTTCAGTTCCTTGTTCCTCATACTGTAGATCAACGGGTTTAAAATGGGGGTGATAAAAGTATAGACCACAGACACCACCCGGCCCATCTCAGGAGAGTAACTGGAACTGGGGGACAAATAGACAAAGCTGGTGCAGCCGTACTGCAGGAGGACCACGAGGATGTGAGAGGAGCAGGTGGAGAAGGCTCGGTGGCGCCCTTCTGTGGACCCGATCCGTAGAATAGCTGCCACGATGAAGACGTAGGAGACGGAGATCAGTGACAGTGGGATGCTTAGGACCATGAAGCTGATGACGTACAGGGCCGTCTGGTGAACACGTGTGTCGGCACAAGCCAGGCGCAGGACTGCGGGCATGTCACAGTAGAAGTGGTAGATCTCGTTTTTGTGGCAGAATGGGAGATGGAAGATTAAGATGGTCAGTGGCAGTGACAGCAGGAATCCCAGCACCAGGGACCCCACCATCAGCTCCACACACAAGGACCAGCTCATGATGAGGGTGTATCTCAGGGGGTAGCAGATTGCTATAAACCGATCATAAGCCATGACCGCAAGTAGGACACAATCAGCTCCTCCCAAGAAGACAAAGAAAAACATCTGAGTGCCACAGCCAGTGACGGAAACGGGGGTTTTGCCCATTGAAAGAAGGTTGGCCAAAGCCAGGGGGGCAATGGAAGACGTGTAGAGGATTTCCAGGAGAGCCAGGTTAGCCAGGAAGAAGTACATGGGGGTGTGGAGGGAGTGCTTGATCTGGACAGTGAGAGCAATTGTGGCATTTCCACCGAGGCTGGTCAGGTACATGGCTAAGAAAGCCACAAAAATCACCATCTGCACTTTGGGGTCAGGTGAGAACGGGCGAAAGAAGAATTCTATTCCTGCTGTTTTATTTATCCCTTCCATGGGTAGTGTGTGGGACCTACCTAAGGGAGGATGGCACGAGTGTCAAGGCGTCCCTTGTTTCAGAGTTTTCTCAGCTGTTCCATGTCAGAGCACTTGCTGAAGGGACCCTGGCAACGACAGGCAAACCTTCATGTTAGAGGAGGTCATTTCACCTTAGGATCCACACATTTGTCATTTCCTCATCTTTCCATTCCCCGCCCCAAGTCCCACAGATTGAAAAATCCTTCCTTATCTGTCCTGAGAGTGAAAAAAATTATTTTTACATTTCTACATTACCTCATACATCAGAATTCCTCTAGATTTCCTCTTTAAGTCAGGTGAAGTGTGGCGATTCTCATCTAATTTGTAAGCTAGTTGTGACTGCTAAAAGATGGTTCATGAAAAACATCTTGACTATAGATGCATCTGCATGGCCTGATGGACCCATGTGGTATAACTGTTTGGCTTGCCTGAAGAGCCGAATAAAATCTTAATTTGGGGATTTTGATTATGGGATAAACAGAGAAAGAAGAACAGTGTTATAATTCACAGGCAGAGGCTCTGCCTGGAGCACAGGTATCTGTGATTTCTGGAGATGTTCACACTGGTGAACCAGGGAGGATCTGTTGATACCTAGTCAAAGAACAGACTCCAATATCAGATGCATGCAAACAAAAACCATTTTTCCTTACAAGTCATTCTTTAAAAAAATTTTGTTTTTTAGTTGTAGATGAACACGGTACCTTTATTCTCTTTATTTATTTTTTTATCTGGTGTTGAAGATCGAATCCAGTGCTTCACACATGCTAGGCGAGTGCTCTACCACTGAATCACAACCCCAGCCCCACAAGTCATTCTTGAATAACTTTTTATACGTGTGTAAAGTGACTCTCCTGGGTACTTTTTGGAAGAAACTCCTGTGAACATTTTTGGGCAACGGCATCCAGAAAAAAAAAAAAAAAAAACAAGAGCCAAAGCTGGATCCCTTTACTGTTAATATGTTAAATCATCAGAAGTTTCTTTTTTCCAAAGGCCAACAATGGCAACACACAGGGGATTTCACATGGTTCAACAGGAGACTTCTACAAGTGAACTCTGAGTGTATCATGTGAAACATTCAGATGTTCAAAAAAGTTACCACACTCCTACAGCAATAATAATGGTCATTTTTATTGTGCCCTCACTAGCATTGGTACAATGTGCCAATCATTTACAGGCACAATCTCCCTTAAGGCGGCTCTTCAGTTCTACAAAACAGGTACTTCCATTATTCATATTTTTTTTTCAGACGAAGTTTTAGTGTTTAAAGACAGAGAAGGAGTTAATTTCTAAGTCAGTCTGAAATCAAGTCCGTTTCTTTTAAAAATTAATTTCTAAAGAAGTGCATTATAGTCATACATAATAGTGGGATTAAATGTGACATATTTATATGTGCACACAACACAGTCTTGTCCCTGTCTTTCCTCCCCTCTGCCTCCTCTTCCTCTACTCTCATGGTCTCCCTCATATTGTTATGACATCTAACCTGATCTTTTCTCCAATTTTTTCTCTCCAGACAAGTCTTTTAATCACTAAAATAAACTGTCTCACTAAGCAATGCACCAGGTGCAAGGCTGAATAATACATGTCTGAGGGAGAGAAAATTCTTTAATTGCAATTGTCCTTTATGGACAAACTGTCACTACAAATGGGGTGGGCCACCAACAACCCTGAATCACTATGAAGTCACCCCAATTTGTAATATCTTTTTTTTTGTTCCTTTTTCTTCCTTTCTCATCACATACGCAATCAATGACATTTATTTTAATATATACCTTTGACAAAGCTTTATGAAGGCCCTACTCTATACAAAGCATATCCTTTGTTTCTGGGAGAAGAGGGAGAAATGTGGAAAATCAGAAGGCTCCAACTTGAATGAGAAATACGGTAATAAAGTTGAATTCAGTTAAGTGCTGCCATAAAACAAAGATGTACTAGGAGAACATGGGCAATAATGCCTTTTGAAAAATCATATAACATTACAATTATTTTTTTACCTTTATATTTATTTGTTTATTTTTATGTGGTGCTGAGGATCAAACCCAGTGCCTCATACCTGCCAGGCAAGTGCTCTACCACTAATAACCATCACCCCAGCCCTACAATCATCATCATTATTATTATCTTTTAGTTGCCAATGGACCTTTATTTTATTTATTTATATGAAGTGCTGAGGATTGAACCCAGTGCCTTACATATGCTAGAAAAGCGCTCTACCACTGAGCCACAACCCCAGCCCTACAATTATTTTTAATGCATAGAGTTTCCCACGTGAAGGAAACTTCTGGTCCTTCCTTTTATAACAGAAGTAGATAGTGTTTTTTTTTTTTTTTAAACATCTACAAAGTTGAAATTTGGAATGATGGTTACATTTTAAAAAGTTGAAGAGTCCTTAGAATCATATCTCTGTATCAGAGCTGATTAGTATTGAGCTCTGGTTATCTGATTTAGAATGTGATTCTTCTGACCTTTCTGAACAGACTTTTCTCTGCCTCACATCCCTTTACTGTTAATATGTTAATAGTTTGAAGATCAAGTTGGAAGAGGGTTTCACAGTATGTATTCTTGAATTTCCCTTGAACTCTCTGGATCAAACTCTGGTCCTAAATAGGAGCTGGACTTTGACTCTTACTACAAAAATTCCAACTTAGCCTCTGCTATCTGCCTACCCCAAACCTTGGCCTAATTACAGAGGATTTTTCTAATATGATCTGAGGTCTAGGAGTAAATTCTTACCTTTGGATGGGTCCACATGAACTTCAAGCCATTGCAGATTTACATTTATCCTTTGCTGAATGCAGGCCTCCAGGGACCTGCCTCAAGGTCCTACTGTCCTTAGGAGATGTCCAGGTTGAGCATGTTGATTACTGTTAGATCTCACATGGCTGATTCAGGGTACTATGTTGAAATGCTTCTTCAACCAGATCTGATTCCTACTAGATCAATTCTACCCTTTTCTTCTTTGTACAAAGTGACAGGCAGGTTTTACTTATCATCTCTCTGTAGCTTGGAACTTAACCTTTAAAGTTGCACTGCTATTCAGATTTAAAATTATCATCAAATAATGACATTTGTAACTAACCTGAACAATGAGTCATTGTTGGTCCCCTGAGGTGACTGAGCTCTGTTTGGGAAGTATAAATCAACAAGATTAAATACAGTGTACCTAAGAGTTAAAATTGCATCAGGATTATTCCATTGGTACATCTTCCCTAGGGGCTGTATTTTAGTAAGTTCTTCATGTTTTCAGTGATAAGGTCAGTTGGGGGAAAGAAAAAATATTGTTTTAATTTGACTTATCTAGAAATAATTTTAAAAAGGAAATTTCCACACATAGCCTTATTTTATTTTATTTTGTCATAACCACAGTATCTCCCACACTCTGGGAAATAATTTCCTCCTAATTTTAATTCTGTCCCTCTGATATTCTTTCTTAGTCTGCTTTGCTGGCTTGTCCTACTTTCGTAATTTCTACCCAAGCTGGGGCTTGGTCCAGGGTCTTTCTTTCTACTTGCATATGTTTGTAGGTGATTCAACTTAGTTTTTTTTTGGCTTAAAATATAACTAATACATGTTTCTTCTGCCAACCTCATACATGGACTCCAGCTTGTATGTGAACTTGTCCATCTGACATCCTACTTGGGTTACTAATCAGTATCTCCCATTTAACAGACTGAAGTAGAATTTTAAATCCATTATTCCTTTGAGAGTTAGGTATTGGGCCATTCAAATCCCGACAGTCATCTCCAAATAAATTTGTTAGTTAAAATTAATGAATACTAATGCTTCATTCAATTTCATAGAATTTTATGGAAAAGATTCGGAGAGGCAGTTTTTCTTTCAGTATTTCTTGGAGAAATGATAGATCATCTTAATCTCCCCCCCCCTTTCCTAAGTCATTCATGAAATCATAGAATTAGAAGGAATTTTAGAGGTCATCTAGTGATTGCCACCTTGGATCTCCAAATTTTACAAGATCTTTAATATTATTAAGAATTTATTAGGCTCTTCAAGGTAATTTTAGTTCAAAAACTACTAATAAAGTCATACATTTTCCTGAGATAAAGATATAAGTATGTACAATACTTATTATTATTTGCTTTTTTGTTTGTTTGTTTGTTTAAGAGATTCTATTAGAGCTGGGTGCGGTGATGCACACCTATAATTCCATTGGCTTGGGAGGCTGAGGCAGGAGGATCATGATTTCAAAGCCAGCCTCAGCAAAAGTGAGGCAATAAGCAATTCAGTGAGACCCTGTCTCTAAATAAAATACAAAATAGGGCTGGGGATGTGGCTCAGTGATCGAGTGCCCCTGAGTTCAATCCCTGGTACTACCCCTGACCAAAAAAAGATTCTATTAGGAAGACCAATTTTCAAGAACACAGAGGTTTGAAGCAATGTAGAAGAATGGCAAAAATCCCTGGTCTGAATTCAGGATGATTTAAATTCAGACCTTGTCTCAGTCACTCAGTGGATGTATGCTTTTAAATTAATTAACCTCGGTATCCTGATCTGCAAAATGAGAGTAATAGTACTGTTTTTCACTCATGGGGCAGTTGTGGAGGTTGAGTGAGATGATACATGTGCAGTGTTTATCACAGTATCTCACAGTTTCTTAGCTGGATCACTATTAATGTGGGGTTCACAGAGAAGCTACCGTCAAGTCTGAATGGTGCAGAGAATGCTGATAGGTGCTGATCTAGTTTAACATCAGTAACAATAAGTCTCTTCATTCCCAATATTTTTGACAGGTAGAAATCAACTACACTAGATCATTAACCACAGAGAAAAAACTAGGAGGAAGCAAAGACTTCATCCTATGGAAGTAAAAATACAACTTCGGGTATACATTTAATTGTCTCTGACACATTAGGTTTAATTTATCAATATGCAAGTTTGTTTGAATCAGGAAATCAATCCATCAAAATGTATTATATCAACAAACTCTCAGAATAAAATATTGAAGAGATATGGAAAAATCT